GATAGGGTCTCCCTGTAGCCCCAGCTGTCCTGGAACTCACTATGTAGACCAGGCTGGCCTTGAACTCACAGAGATTCGCCTGCCTCTGCCTCCTGAGTGCTGGGATTAAAGGTGTGAGCCACCATGCCTGGCCTCTTTTTCTTATATTTATTATTATTATTGTGTGTGTGTGTGATGTGTGTGTTTATAATGTGTGTGTATGATATATGTGTGAGTTTGGACATGTACATGGCATGGCACTTGTATGGAGGACATAGGAAAACTTTTGAGTGTCCATTATCCTCAGCTGAATATTAAGTTCAAAGCTAGCTAAGGTGGCTAAGCTACATGAGATCTTGACTCAACTCTCTCTCTCTCTCCATAAATGCAACTTTTTTTTTTTTTTTTTTGCGACGTCTCCCTGTAGCCCTAGCTGCCAAGAACTTTCTATATAAACCAGGCTGGCCTCCATCTCCCAGAGATATGCCTGCCTCTGCTTCCTGAGTGCTGGGACTAAAAGTGTGCACTACTATACCTGGCTAATACATGCAATTTTAAAAATAAAATAAGGCCCTGGAGAGATGGCTCACTGGTTAAAAGCACTGGTTGCTCTTGCAGAGAACTTGTGCTCAGTTCTTGCACTTACCTGGTGGCTAACAACCATCCATAACTCCAGTTCCAGGCGATCCAGTGCTCTTTTCTGGCCTCTATGGGTGTTGCATGACATGGGTGCACTTATATACTGGCAGACAAAACAATCATAAACAAATAAAAATAAATCAATGGTGCACAGCTGTAATGCCAACATTTGAAAGGTTGAGGCAGGAGGATCTTGAATTCAAGGCCAGCCTGGGCTACACACAACTAGACATTGTCTTTTCTTTTTTTTTTTTTGTCTTTTTGAGACAGGTTCTCCTTGTAGCCCCAGCTGTCCTGGAACTCACTATGTAGACCAGGATGGCCTTGAACTCACAAAGATCTGCCTGCATCTGCCTCCCAAGTGCTGGGATTAAAGGCGTGCACCACCATGTCCAGCCTTAGACATTGTCTTATCAACCAACCAATCATCAACAATAACTACTGTACATCAAAAAGCATCATTAAAAGACGAAACAGCTGAGCATAGTGCATAGCTGTAATCCCAACACAAGGGAGGCAGAGACAGGAAGGAGGATTTCTGTAAATTTAAGGCCAGCCTGGTCTAGATAGTAAGTTCCAGGTCAGCGTAACCTAGAGTGAAACACTGTTGCAAAAAAAAAAAAAAAACAAAGTAATTTTAAAAAATTGAAAAGAGCAGGGCATGGTGGCCCACACTGTTAGTCCTAGCACTTGGGAGGCAGAGGCAGGTGGATCTCTGTGAGTTTGAGGCCAGACTGGTCTACATAGTGAGTTCCAGGTCAGCTGTGGCTATAGTGAGACCCTGTCTCAAAAAGACTGAAAAAAAAAATTGAAAAGAAAAAAACAATAAAATATTTGTAATATACAGCAAAGTGAGGAGGGGTAACATCTAGAATGGTCAGAGATTTTACAAACCAAGAAACACAAATGACCCAGAATAATTATTCAAGTGCAGACAAGATAGCTCAGTGGATAAAGATGCCTGCTGCCAAGCCTGAAGACTTGACTTCTATCCCCATCTTTGAGCATATCAAATAAATAAATAAGTAAATAAATAATATCAAAAGTAAGTAAGAAGGTTTAAAGATGGCTCAGTGTTTAAAGGTCCTTGCTGCCAAGCCTGAAGATCTGACTTTGATCCCCACCTCTACATGTGGGCACAGATATAAATAAAGTAGGTAAGTAAGACAGTTTAAAATAGGGGTTTGAGAGATGGCTCAGTGGTTAAGAGCACTGACTGCTCTTGAAGAGGACCTCCTTGGCACTGGACGACACAGGTGCACTCACATACATGCAGGCAATGCACACATACACATAAAGTAAAAATAATAAAATATTTTTAAAAAGAAAATTTAAAATAATTGTTCAAATTGTAAAAATGGGGAGGAGAAATACAAAAGGGTTAATGAAAACTATAATATTTAAATAGCTCACAATAGGCAGTGTGCTATAAGGATAGAGGCACTTTTTTAGTGCTAACAGAAGATGAATATGTGTTAAAAGGACATTGTGCCAGGCATGTGGGGCATACCTATAGTCTCAATACTTGGAAGGCTGAGGCTGGAGGATCACAAATTTGAAGCCATCCTGGAGTACATAGTAAGAACTTGTCTCAAAATTAAACACAACAAAGCCGGGCGTGGTGGTGCACGCCTTTAATCCCAGCACTTGGGAAGCAGAGGCAGGCAGATCTCTGTGAGTTCAAGGCCAGCCTGGTCTACATAGTGAGTTCCAGGACAGCTGGGGCTACAGGGAAACCCTGTCTCAAAAAGACCGAAAAGAAAAAATAACAAAAAGGCATATGATATATATTGTTTATAGTAGCAAATTAAAAAAAAAAACTAAATAGGTTGGGTGGTGCATACCTTTAATCCCAGCACTCAGGAGGCAGAAGCAGGAGGATCTCTAGAAGATGGAGCCCAGTCTAGTCTATATAGTGAGTTCCAAGCCAACTGGGGCTACAGGGAGACCCTGTCTCAAAAGAAAAACAAAAACAAAAAACTCCCCCACAAAACCTAAATAGCTAGTATTTTTTAACCTTTAAAAAAAAAAAAAAACTTTAGCCGGGCATGGTGGCGCATGCTTGTAGTTCCAGCACTCAGGAGGCAGAGGCAGGCGGATCTCTGTGAGTTCAAGGCCAGCCTGGTCTACATAGTGAGTTCCAGGACAGCTGGGGCTACAAGGAGACCCTGTCTCAAAAAGACAAAAAAAAACCACAACACTTAATTTTTTGAGAATTTGATACATGAATATTGTCCCTCCCAGTCCACCCTCTAACTCCTCCCACGTCTCCCCCCATTCCTTTTCAATTTCTTGTCCTCTTTTTTGATTATTATCATTACATATACATGCATACATATATATATGCACATATATCTGTATATACACTTAGTGGTGTTTGTGCATACCTGTGTTTAGGGCTGCCCACTTAAGAGCAGATAACCTCTCAGGGAGATTCTCCCTTCCTCAGCATCCATTGATTACCTGTAGCTCTTCATCTTGAGGTGGAACCCTGTGAAATTCCCTCAATCCACCTGTAATTAAATATTTTACAGCATGTTCAACTTACAGAATACTATATAGGTATTAAAAAGACAACTATGGATAGGGATGTACCTCAGTCGTACAGAGCTGGTGCAGCATACATGAGACCCTGTTTCAACCTCTGCACTGAAAGAAGAGAGAGACCTAGATCAACAATACAGAGAATAGAATATGGAACATATTAAATGGGGGGAAGATGGAAAAGAACAAATCATTGAACAGTAAACACAATATGATATAATTTGTGACTTCAAGCAACTAAAAATGTGATTGGTACATGCACTGGTATATAACCACACAAAATTTAGTGGGAAAAACCAAACTGCTAGCCGTGTTCCCTCTGCAGAGCAAGTATGCATGCACGTGGGCTAGTTTTAAATGTGTGTATGCGATGATGGGATAAAAGGTGACTTTTGCATTTTCCTCCATTTACTTCCATGCTGAATTTTTCCAATAAAACTGACTCTTTTGCTTCTTGCTTAACTAGGAAGGGAAATCATAAGAAGCACACAGAAAGTACTGGTGCTGATTGTTGGAGCTACAGAATGCTGCAAAATGTTGTTCAGTACTGTGTACATGTATTTTGAAATCTAGTTAGGACAAAATTTTTAGTGCTGCCAGAATAGAACCCAGGGCCTTGTTCACACTAGGCAAACGTTCTGTTACTGCACTACACCCAGACAATAGTTAGAAAAGCAAGAATAGGCTTTAAAAATCCGTGGGCGGTGATACTTGTAGACACATCATATGTTCGTAAGCTGTGGTGGTGTCAGGGCATCACAGAAACTCTTGGGAAGCAATTGTTCTGAGTTTTCCAAGTAATACTGTAACAGAGCAATGGAATTCAAAGAGGAAAAGTACTCAGGCAGGAACATAGCCAACCTTGTATTGGGCCGGAAACCCATTCACTGTTACATAGCATACTAGACTAGTGTGTCTGCCCACTAACTGCTAAACTCCAAACAACATATAAGAGTGTAAGACAAGGCAAGGGCAGTGAGGGCAAAGAAAAACTCAGAAAAAGCTAAGTAAAAATTTTCACAGGTAGCTGAGAATGTGTGACTGACACTAAGGAAGAAAGTGCAAGTGTTTCCATAGAAAGGATTTAGAAAATAATGATGGTTGTGAGAATGGCCTCTTTCTTTTTGAAATAGGTTCTCATGTAGCTGGCCTCAAACTCACTATGTAGCTGAGGATGACCTTAAACTTCTGATCCTCCTGCCTCCTCTTGTGTTGTGCTTAGATTACAGTCCTGTGCCACCATGCTTGGTTTTATGCAGTGCTGGGGATCAGACCCAGGGCTTTGTGCATCACTAGCCTGCATGTGGTCTCTTAAAGCAATTAATCTCACTGAGGGATGGATTGGGGCAGAGGAAGCTATCAGAATCTAGAACAAGATCATTTTTAGGAACTAAAACATTTTTGCTGGTTTTCTAACATAGACCTAAAAGAGTTTACTCAGGTGACAATACTCTTTGTTGGCAAGGAGAGACTATCATTTAAGTATCAGCAATTATAAAATTAGAGGGATGGAGATCATACTCTTATTAAAATATTATATGTTGCTCCCAAGATTTTTATGTTTAGCTGAAGGTACAGAGTAAAATATGCTCAGAAATATTCAATATAATAAAATATCCTCCACTAAAATTACATGTGGTATTCCCCAAATGTATATTTTCCTGGGGAAAGGATACACATAGAATTCTTAAGCTCCTCCAAGATGTCCAAACTCGAAAATAAAACAAAATGGCTAGGGATGTAACTCAGCTCAAGATCCAGCAAGGGATGAATCAGAACTCAGCAGGCTTTGGGCTGGAGATACAGCTAAGTTGGTAGAACAGTAGCCTAGCATGCATGAAGCCCTGTGCTTGATTCCCAGAGTCCCATAAAACCAGATGTGCACACCTATAATCGCAGCATTCAGGAGGATCAAAAGTTAAAAGTCAACTTCAGTACCATAGCAAGTTAGAAGTCAGTCTAGGTACATGAGACATTGATTAAAAATAAAGAATTCGGCAAATTCAGCAGGCAGAAAAAGAGCCAGAGAAATAGGAAAAGTGGGTTGGAAGTAGCCATAGTACTGTTAAGATACTGACAGCTAGCTGGTTTGTTTGGTACTAGGGATAGAACTCAGGTCTTGTGCATTCCAGGCAAATGAAGGATCACTGAGCAGCATCTCAAGGCTTAAGTGCTTTAGATACAAGGTGTTATTGTCATACTGTAACAATTGCACTAGTTAACACCAATTTCATGAAGCAAATGTTTCTATATTTGTTATCACAAAACTTGCACAAAAGGGCTGTTGCTTTGATCTAACAATTATCACTTGCTTGAGTAAGTGAAGGAATTATAGAATATGATCCTAATGTAGCCAATGGGAAAGCTTTTAAGTTAGAAGTATCTGGGAGCTTGCATATATGCATGACCAAGTGCCTCAGCTGGGACCGTGGGAATGGGAGCTGCCAAGCTCGTTGGAGATTATGATCTGCTCTGCAAGAATGGGCATGCATAGTGAACCACGGT